ACACTTAAAATTAGACACAATATTATAGGTTATTAACTAAAAATTGAAAAAACAACAATAATTAATAAAAAATAATAATAAAAAATTGAAAAAATCAAAACATTCTTAAAAATTGCAAAATAACCCTTTTTCGGGTTAAAATTGCAAAATAACCCTTTTTCGGGTTACAATTAAAAAATTACCCTTTTTCGGGTTAAAATTGAAAAAAAAATGTTACATAAAAATAGTTTTTAAGATTTTCTAACAGCATATATGCAAAGTAATTTGATTTATTTGAAAATAATTGAAAATAGATTTTTCAAGGACGGTGTCGAGGTCACGGGGTCGGTGTCGTTTTTCGAAATTTGTTAACTTAATATAATAGAAGACATTTCGTTTTAAATTAAGAAATGTTAAAATTATTAAGTTAAAAACATTTGATTTTAATGACACTTAAAATTAGACACAATATTATAGGTTACTAACTAAAAATTGAAAAAACAACAATAAATAATAAAAAATAATAATAAAAAATTGAAAAAATTAAAAAATTCTTAAAAAATTGCAAAATGACCCTTTTTTGGGTTAAAATCGAAAAATAACCCTTTTTCGGGTTAAAATTGAAAAAAGATGTTACATAAAAATAGTTTGTAAGATTTTCTAACAGCATATATGCAAAGTATTTTGATTTATTTGAAAATAATTGAAAATAGATTTTTCAAGGACGGTGTCGAGGTCACGGGGTCGGTGTCGTTTTTTGAAATTTGTTAACTTAATATAATAGAAGATGTTTCGTTTTAAATTAGGAAATGTTAAAATTATTAAGTTAAAAACATTTGATTTTAATGACAATTAAAATGAGACACAATATTATAGGTTACTAACTAAAAATTGAAAAAACAACAATAAATAATAAAAAATTGAAAAAATCAAAAAATTCTTAAAAAATTGCAAAATAACCCTTTTTCGGGTTAAAATTGAAAAAAGATGTTACATAAAAATAGTTTGTAAGATTTTCTAGCAGCATATATGCAAAGTATTTTGATTTATTTGAAAATAATTGAAAATAGATTTTTCAAGGACGGTGTCGAGGTCACGGGGTCGGTGTCGTTTTTCGAAATTTGTTAACTTAATATAATAGAAGATGTTTCGTTTTAAATTAAGAAATGTTAAAATTATTAAGTTAAAAACATTTGATTTTAATGACACTTAAAATTAGACACAATATTATAGGTTATTAACTAAAAATTGAAAAAACAACAATAATTAGGGGAATAGTGTCATGGTTGGACACTTGTCAGGGTTGGACACTTGGCTTTTTTTAAATAAGAACACTAGCGCCACCTGTGTGCGTACGTGACGAATCTTCAAGTAGTATTAGCTAACTTTTTGTGGCATTACATTTTTGGAGAATCAAAAGTAGCGTCTCTGGTGACTTCAGTGCAATCGAAGAGACAAAAAAAGTTTTGTTTGACTTGTGAATAAATCTAAAAAATGTGTAAAAAAAGCAAGAATTCGGCAAGATAAGCTTATTGAATGTATTGTGGGGTACATAATTTAAGAAGAAAAAAAGTGAAAAATCGAATCGCGACACATGTCTAGTTATGGTTAGCACAATTCGAAAATGATGCTTCTAGTTAGGGTTGGACACTTTATACAGTTAGGGTTGGACACCCATATTTATTATGAATTTGACACAATTTATAAATAAATTTTATTTTATTGATATTTCAGTGCAAAATTGTGCCAAAGATATTAGAAAAATAATACTTAAATTGTATAACTTTTGTTCATCATTTCATTGAGTTATTTGGAACAATAAAGCGTTATTTTTTATAATTTGAGTTCATTCCTTTTTTAAACCCATGAAGCTTTACAATTTGTAAACAATAAGTAAAGATAAACATGAAAAAATAAGAATAAAAAACATTACAAATGTTATTTTACGTTTTTACCAATAATGCGTTTCGATTTTCAAAAAGTGTCCAACCCTGACTGAAAAGTCCAACCCTGACTAGATTTTTTTTTTTTTTTAAATGTTTATAACTTTTTTAATTTTGGACCAATCAATTTACGGTCCACAGCAAAAGTGTTCCTCTTTTGTAGATCTTTCCACCCATATACCACAATTGACTGAATTTATCTAAACAAAATATTTATAAACAAAAAACCAAAACTGTGTCCAACCCTGACACTATTCCCCTAATAAAAAATAATAATAAAAAATTGAAAAAATCAAAACATTCTTAAAAATTGCAAAATAACCCTTTTTCGGGTTAAAATTGCAAAATAACCCTTTTTCGGATTACAATTAAAAAATTACCCTTTTTCGGGTTAAAATTAAAAAATTACCCTTTTTCGGGTTAAAATTGAAAAAAAATGTTACATAAAAATAGTTTTTAAGATTTTCTAACAGCATATATGCAAAGTAATTTGATTTATTTGAAAATAATTGAAAATAAATTTTTCAAGGACGGTGTCGAGGTCACGGGGTCGGTGTTGTTTTTCGAAATTTGTTAACTTAATATAATAGAAGATGTTTCGTTTTAAATTAAGAAATGTTAAAATTATTAAGTTAAAAACATTTGATTTTAATGACACTTAAAATTAGACACAATATTATAGGTTACTAACTAAAAATTGAAAAAACAACAATAAATAATAAAAAATAATAATAAAAAATTGAAAAAATCAAAAAATTCTTAAAAAATTGCAAAATAACCCTTTTTCGGGTTAAAATCGAAAAAAAATGTTACATAAAAATAGTTTGTAAGACTTTCTAACAGCATATATGCAAAGTATTTTGATTTATTTGAAAATAATTGAAAATAGATTTTTCAAGGACGGTGTCGAGGTCACGGGGTCGGTGTCGTTTTTCGAAATTTGTTAACTTAATATAATAGAAGATGTTTCGTTTTAAATTAAGAAATGTTAAAATTATTAAGTTAAAAACATTTGATTTTAATGACACTTAAAATTAGACACAATATTATAGGTTACTAACTAAAAATTGAAAAAACAACAATAAATAATAAAAAATAATAATAAAAAATTGAAAAAATCAAAAAATTCTTAAAAAATTGCAAAATAACCCTTTTCCGGGTTAAAATCGAAAAATAACCCTTTTTCGGGTTAAAATTGAAAAAAGATGTTACATAAAAATAGTTTGTAAGATTTTCTAACAGCATATATGCAAAGTATTTTGATTTATTTGAAAATAATTGAAAATAGATTTTTCAAGGACGGTGTCGAGGTCACGGGGTCGGTGTCGTTTTTCGAAATTTGTTAACTTAATATAATAGAAGATGTTTCGTTTTAAATTAGGAAATGTTAAAATTATTAAGTTAAAAACATTTGATTTTAATGACACTTAAAATGAGACACAATATTATAGGTTACTAACTAAAAATTGAAAAAACAACAATAAATAATAAAAAATTGAAAAAATCAAAAAATTCTTAAAAAATTGCAAAATAACCCTTTTTCGGGTTGAAATTGAAAAAAGATGTTACATAAAAATAGTTTGTAAAATTTTCTAGCAGCATATATGCAAAGTATTTTGATTTATTTGAAAATAATTGAAAATAGATTTGTCAAGGACGGTGTCGAGGTCACGGGGTCGGTGTCGTTTTTCGAAATTTGTTAACTTAATATAATAGAAGACATTTCGTTTTAAATTAAGAAATGTTAAAATTATTAAGTTAAAAACATTTGATTTTAATGACACTTAAAATTAGACACAATATTATAGGTTACTAACTAAAAATTGAAAAAACAACAATAAATAATAAAAAATAATAATAAAAAATTGAAAAAATTAAAAAATACTTAAAAAATTGCAAAATGACCCTTTTTTGGGTTAAAATTGAAAAAAAATGTTTCATAAAAATAGTTTGTAAGATTTTCTAACAGCATATATGCAAAGTAATTTGATTTATTTGAAAATAATTGAAAATAGATTTTTCAAGGACGGTGTCGAGGTCACGGGGTCGGTGTCGTTTTTCGAAATTTGTTAACTTAATATAATAGAAGATGTTTCGTTTTAAATTAAGAAATGTTAAAATTATTAAGTTAAAAACATTTGATTTTAATGACACTTAAAATTAGACACAATATTATAGGTTACTAACTAAAAATTGAAAAAACAACAATAAATAATAAAAAATAATAATAAAAAATTGAAAAAATCAAAAAATTCTTAAAAAATTGCAAAATAACCCTTTTTCGGGTTAAAATCGAAAAAAAATGTTACATAAAAATAGATTGTAAGACTTTCTAACAGCATATATGCAAAGTATTTTGATTTATTTGAAAATAATTGAAAATAGATTTTTCAAGGACGGTGTCGAGGTCACGGGGTCGGTGTCGTTTTTCGAAATTTGTTAACTTAATATAATAGAAGATGTTTCGTTATAAATTAGGAAATGTTAAAATTATTAAGTTAAAAACATTTGATTTTAATGACACTTAAAATGAGACACAATATTATAAGTTACTAACTAAAAATTGAAAAAACAACAATAAATAATAAAAAATAATAATAAAAAATTGAAAAAATCAAAATATTCTTAAAAAATTGCAAAATAACCCTTTTTCGTGTTAAAATTGCAAAATAACCCTTTTTCGGGTTACAATTAAAAAATTACCCTTTTTCGGGTTAAAATTAAAAAATTACCCTTTTTCGGGTTAAAATTGAAAAAAAATGTTACATAAAAATAGTTTTTAAGATTTTCTAACAGCATATATGCAAAGTAATTTGATTTATTTGAAAATAATTGAAAATAGATTTTTCAAGGACGGTGTCGAGGTCACGGGGTCGGTGTCGTTTTTAAAAATTTGTTAACTTAATATAATAGAAGACATTTCGTTTTAAATTAAGAAATGTTAAAATTATTAAGTTAAAAACATTTGATTTTAATGACACTTAAAATTAGACACAATATTATAGGTTACTAACTAAAAATTGCAAAAACAACAATAAATAATAAAATATAATAATAAAAAATTGAAAAAATCAAAAAATTCTTAAAAAATTGCAAAATAACCCTTTTTCGGGTTAAAATCGAAAAATAACCCTTTTTCGGGTTAAAATTGAAAAAAGATGTTACATAAAAATAGTTTGTAAGATTTTCTAACAGCATATATGCAAAGTATTTTGATTTATTTGAAAATAATTGAAAATAGATTTTTCAAGGACGGTGTCGAGGTCACGGGGTCGGTGTCGTTTTTCGAAATTTGTTAACTTAATATAATAGAAGATGTTTCGTTTTAAATTAGGAAATGTTAAAATTATTAAGTTAAAAACATTTGATTTTAATGACACTTAAAATTAGACACAATATTATAGGTTATTAACTAAAAATTGAAAAAACAACAATAAATAATAAAAAATAATAATAAAAAATTGAAAAAATCAAAATATTCTTAAAAAATTGCAAAATAACCCTTTTTCGTGTTAAAATTGCAAAATAACCCTTTTTCGGGTTACAATTAAAAAATTACCCTTTTTCGGGTTAAAATTAAAAAATTACCCTTTTTCGGGTTAAAATTGAAAAAAAAATGTTACATAAAAATAGTTTTTAAGATTTTCTAACAGCATATATGCAAAGTAATTTGATTTATTTGAAAATAATTGAAAATAGATTTTTCAAGGACGGTGTCGAGGTCACGGGGTCGGTGTCGTTTTTCGAAATTTGTTAACTTAATATAATAGAAGACATTTCGTTTTAAATTAAGAAATGTTAAAATTATTAAGTTAAAAACATTTGATTTTAATGACACTTAAAATTAGACACAATATTATAGGTTACTAACTAAAAATTGAAAAAACAACAATAAATAATAAAAAATAATAATAAAAAATTGAAAAAATTAAAATATTCTTAAAAAATTGCAAAATGACCCTTTTTTGGGTTAAAATTGAAAAAAAATGTTACAGAAAAATAGTTTGTAAGACTTTCTAACAGCATATATGCAAAGTATTTTGATTTATTTGAAAATAATTGAAAATAGATTTTTCAAGGACGGTGTCGAGGTCACGGGGTCGGTGTCGTTTTTCGAAATTTGTTAACTTAATATAATAGAAGATGTTTCGTTTTAAATTAAGAAATGTTAAAATTATTAAGTTAAAAACATTTGATTTTAATGACACTTAAAATTAGACACAATATTATAGGTTACTAACTAAAAATTGCAAAAACAACAATAAATAATAAAAAATAATAATAAAAAATTGAAAAAATCAAAAAATTCTTAAAAAATTGCAAAATAACCCTTTTTCGGGTTAAAATCGAAAAATAACCCTTTTTCGGGTTAAAATTGAAAAAAGATGTTACATAAAAATAGTTTGTAAGATTTTCTAACAGCATATATGCAAAGTATTTTGATTTATTTGAAAATAATTGAAAATAGATTTTTCTAGGACGGTGTCGAGGTCACGGGGTCGGTGTCGTTTTTCGAAATTTGTTAACTTAATATAATAGAAGATGTTTCGTTTTAAATTAGGAAATGTTAAAATTATTAAGTTAAAAACATTTGATTTTAATGACACTTAAAATGAGACACAATATTATAGGTTACTAACTAAAAATTGAAAAAACAACAATAAATAATAAAAAATTGAAAAAATCAAAAAATTCTTAAAAAATTGCAAAATAACCCTTTTTCGGGTTAAAATTGAAAAAAGATGTTACATAAAAATAGTTTGTAAGATTTTCTAGCAGCATATATGCAAAGTATTTTGATTTATTTGAAAATAATGGGGCGGTTCAAATACTACACAATTAAATTCTACATCGTTAAAACCCTACACGTCAAACTCTACACAGTTAAATTGCACACCGTTAAACCTTATACAATTTATTTTTTAAATTCTACACACTTAATGTGTACAATGTTAAACTCTACACAAATTTATTTTGTAGTGAAAAATTAATTTCTTTAAATTCAACACGGTTAAATACCACAACGTTAAACTCTACATATATTTCTTTTGTAATAAAAAATTAATTTTCTTAAATTTAACACAGTTAAATTCCACATCGTTAAATTCTACACATATTTATTTTGTAATGAAAAATTAATTGCATAAAATTCTACACAGTTAAATTGTTCACCGTTAAACTCTCCATAAATTTATTTTGTATTATAAAATAAAATTTGTTTAATTCTACACAGTTAAGTTGCATATTGTTAAACTCTACAAAAACTAATATTATAATATAAAATTAATTTTAATAAATTCTACACCGTTAAATTGCACACCGCCAAACTCTTCATAAATTGATTTTATAATAGAAAATAAAATTGATTAAATTCTACACAGTTAAATTGCTCACTGTTAAATACTAAAGAATTTATTTTTTAAATTCTGCACAGTTAAATTCCACCTCGTTAAATTCTACACAGATTTATTCTCTAATGAAAAATTAATTGCATAAAATTCTACACAGTTAAATTGTTCACCGTTAAACTGTCCACAAATTTATTTAATAATAGAAAATAAAATTTGTTGAACTCTTCACAGTTAAATTAAACACACTTAAACTCTACACACACTAATCTTATAATATAAAATTAATTTTATTAAATTCTACACAATTAAATTACACACCGTTAAACTCTTCACAAAATTTAATTTAAAAAAAATAAAAATTTATTAAACTGTACCCCGTTAAATTGCACATTGCTAAACTCTAAACGATTTAGTTTTTAAATTCTAAACAATTAAATGCTACAATGTAAAATTCTACACAAATATATTTCGCAATTAAAAATTAATTTCGTTAAATTCTACATAGTTAATTTCCACACTGTTAAACCATACACAAATTATTTTTTAATTGTACACAATTAAATTGTACAATGTTAAACTCTACGCAAATTTATTTCATAACAAAAAATAAGTTTTGTTTAATTCTGCACAGTTAAATTGCACACCGTTAAACCATATACAATGTATTTTTTAAATTCTATACATTTCAATTGTACAATGTTAAACTCTGCACCAATTTATTCTTTAGTGAAAAATTAATTTTGTTAAATTCTACTCTGTTTAACTCTAAACTGTTAAATTCTACACAAATTTATTTTGTAAATGAAAAATTAATTTTGTTGAATTCTACACAGATAAATTCCACACCGTTAAACTCTTCACAAAATTTAATTTTAAAAAAATATAAAATTTATTGAACTCTACACAGCTAAATTGCACATTGTTAAACTCTAAACAATTTAGTTTTTAAATTCTACATAATTAAATGCTACAATGTAAAATTCTACACAAATTTATTTCGCAATTAAAAATTAATTTTGTTAAATTCTACATAGTTAATATCCACGCAACGTTAAACATCAGACAAATTATTTCTTAAATTGTACACAATTAAATTGTACAATGTTAAACTCTACGCAAATTTATTTAAAAAAAAAAAAATCCGCCATTTCAAGAAAATTGTTACTCGGGGGTTTTTTGGGTCGCTGATTACGAATCTGATATCAGATTTTCAATATTTAAAATGGCGGATCCAATATGGCGGATGATTATTTAAAAATTTGGATGCATTTTCTTGCAACCTGATTATTGGGAGGTTTTCGGGGTTGCTGATTACGAATCTAATGTTAGTTTTTCAAAATTCGAAATGGCGGTATTTTTTTTTTTTTTTAAATAAATTTGCGTAGAGTTTAACATTGTACAATTTAATTGTGTACAATTTAAGAAATAATTTGTCTGATGTTTAACGTTGCGTGGATATTAACTATGTAGAATTTAACAAAATTAATTTTTAATTGCGAAATAAATTTGTGTAGAATTTTACATTGTAGCATTTAATTATGTAGAATTTAAAAACTAAATTGTTTAGAGTTTAACAATGTGCAATTTAGCTGTGTAGAGTTCAATAAATTTTATATTTTTTTAAAATTAAATTTTGTGAAGAGTTTAACGGTGTGGAATTTATCTGTGTAGAATTCAACAAAATTAATTTTTCATTTACAAAATAAATTTGTGTAGAATTTAACAGTTTAGAGTTAAACAGAGTAGAATTTAACAAAATTAATTTTTCACTAAAGAATAAATTGGTGCAGAGTTTAACATTGTACAATTGAAATGTATAGAATTTAAAAAATACATTGTATATGGTTTAACGGTGTGCAATTTAACTGTGCAGAATTAAACAAAACTTATTTTTTGTTATGAAATAAATTTGCGTAGAGTTTAACATTGTACAATTTAATTGTGTACAATTAAAAAATAATTTGTGTATGGTTTAACAGTGTGGAAATTAACTATGTAGAATTTAACGAAATTAATTTTTAATTGCGAAATATATTTGTGTAGAATTTTACATTGTAGCATTTAATTGTTTAGAATTTAAAAACTAAATCGTTTAGAGTTTAGCAATGTGCAATTTAACGGGGTACAGTTTAATAAATTTTTATTTTTTTTAAATTAAATTTTGTGAAGAGTTTAACGGTGTGTAATTTAATTGTGTAGAATTTAATAAAATTAATTTTATATTATAAGATTAGTGTGTGTAGAGTTTAAGTGTGTTTAATTTAACTGTGAAGAGTTCAACAAATTTTATTTTCTATTATTAAATAAATTTGTGGACAGTTTAACGGTGAACAATTTAACTGTGTAGAATTTTTTGCAATTAATTTTTCATTAGAGAATAAATCTGTGTAGAATTTAACGAGGTGGAATTTAACTGTGCAGAATTTAAAAAATAAATTCTTTAGTATTTAACAGTGAGCAATTTAACTGTGTAGAATTTAATCAATTTTATTTTCTATTATAAAATCAATTTATGAAGAGTTTGGCGGTGTGCAATTTAACGGTGTAGAATTTATTAAAATTAATTTTATATTATAATATTAGTTTTTGTAGAGTTTAACAATATGCAACTTAACTGTGTAGAGTTAAACAAATTTTATTTTATAATACAAAATAAATTTATGGAGAGTTTAACGGTGAACAATTTAACTGTGTAGAATTTTATGCAATTAATTTTTCATTACAAAATAAATATGTGTAGAATTTAACGATGTGGAATTTAACTGTGTTAAATTTAAGAAAATTAATTTTTTATTACAAAAGAAATATATGTAGAGTTTAACGTTGTAGTATTTAACCGTGTTGAATTTAAAGAAATTAATTTTTCACTACAAAATAAATTTGTGTAGAGTTTAACATTGTACACATTAAGTGTGTAGAATTTAAAAAATAAATTGTATAAGGTTTAACGGTGTGCAATTTAACTGTGTAGAGTTTGACGTGTAGGGTTTTAACGATGTAGAATTTAATTGTGTAGTATTTGAACCGCCCCGAAAATAATTGAAAATAAATTT